GCAGTAAGGATTGAACCCAGAACTTTCACACTGAACTATATTCACAGCCCTTTTTAATTTTTATTTTGAGGTAGGGTCTCATTAGGGTACTAAATTGCCCAGGCTGACCCACAAACTTGTGATCTTCCTGCCTCAGCCACTTGAGCCAGGGGAATTACAAGCATGTGCCACACACCAGACCTTATTAAAAAATTTTAAAGTAAATATTCTTATTTTAAATTATAAAGTAACACATACTCATTAAACAACTCTACCACCTGAGTAGCTTAAAATTAACATGTTCCATATGAAGGGTAAACACACAGTGATATCCACACCACTCCCCCCACACACACACTTGCATATGCACACAACACACATTTGATCTTCCCTTCCACTTTTCCCCATGGAATCTTATTTTGATATTTTTTATTTACGTACTGAAATTTGAACCTGGAATCTTCACACTGACCTATATCCCCAGCTTTTTTAGTTTTGTTTCTTTTTTATTTTAAAATTTTTATTAGTACATGTTTGCAATACATAATAATTACATTCACTGTAGGGAGTTGATACATGTACATAACACATCTTAATTAGTTTTACCCCCTCCCCATTTCTTGGTCCTTTCTCATTTGTGAAAGATCTAGGCTCTCTCTATGTCACTCGGACTGAGTTTGAACTGCAGTGCTCCTGCCTCAGCCTCTCAAATGCTCGGATTAAAGGTGCGCACAGCTATGTACAACTGCTTTAGTTTTCATATGTCAATAAATCGTTGGTTGTGTAAGTGTTGGCATTCCTTAGAGATTTGACCTGGTATTCTTCCAAGTTTTTTCTTCGCTCTCTGCACACTCTGATGTTGCCCCACCTGGTTTTAGTCACTCTCATTCCCAAGTACACAATTCCAACCGTGATCTACCTCCAGTTCATTCATTTGTCATTGCTTATTGATGCTCTATACAATTCCCCCTGGACACAGCTTCTCCCTGTGTCCATCTCAGACAGCAGCAAGCAAAAGTCCATTTTCCCAGCTGGGAAACTTAGCATTGCTTTTGGTCCTTCCTCATTCAGTAATATCCTGTCATTCTTTAGACTTATTCTTCCTACTTCCTCAATGTCTTAAAGAATTGATTTGTGTCCATATTAATTACCACCTCTGTAATCCAAGTGACAGTCACCTTGGGGTTCTGTAGTTGTCTAACTTCCCTTCTTCTGCTGTTCTGGTCCATTTTCCGCACAAGCCTGAAATGATTTTCATCTTACTTACACTTTTGCCTTGGAATATCCTTTCTCCCCATCTCTCAGTCTTTTCCTGTTGATGTTGCTTCATGTTTTCAGTCACCTCCAAAGCACTTTTCTTATGAATTGGGTTTGGTATCTTCCCTAAATTTTCTCAAATCATCTTACACTCACTTTTATCCTACTGCAGCATTGCTTATGTTGGACTATAATGACATATTTGTGTCTCTGTCACCCATGTACCAATACCACCCCGCATCACCACTACCAGACTGTTTGCTCCCCCAAGGCAGGAACCAAACGAAGCATGAAACATAGCACTTGATAGTAACCAAATATTTGAATGATGAATAAATATAGTCAGAAACCTAGGGAACCCATAAAGCTTCAGGGACGACTAGTTCTTGAGTCCTAAGAGTTAAAACAGTCAGTCTAGGGAGGCCAGGGTCCAGTCTGGTTCAGTGGTCAGGATAAGAGCTCAGCCATGACAGTTGGAGGTACCAGGGCTATTAGGGAGTGAAGCAGTGCCATCACGACCAGAAACTATTTGCCTTTTGTTTTCTTTCCTGCTTTATCTATTTTGGAGTCTTGCATACACTTAGTAAGGTGTTGTGATCATAGGCTTGGAGACATGTACAAGGCCGAATTCCTCAGTGGAACTGATCGACTGATGTGACAATTCTTGAAAATAAGTAGCTAGATTTTGGGTAGTCCACTGTCCAAACACCCAAGGGGGATACTCTTGCTCTTTCACCGCTGGTAAATACTGCCCTTTTCCCCAACTATGCAGACTCATTAAAGAAAAGACCTTGATTTCTCTATGAATTTCTCCCATTTTAAGACTCCCTGTGTTCTTAACCACACTCTTCAAAGGCAAACATAAAATAAAAAAAAATTGAACAACTCTGTACTCTGTTGATTTTACATGTGAATACCACCAACCCTGGCTGTTGTGCCTTGAACTATGACTGTGTTCACTGTGATTTTCATGGGATACCTTTCAGCTCTGTGGTAAACTTGGATTGTTGAAACATACAGTGGAATGAATTCTGAATGTGGATTTATGACACTAGGATTAGGATCTTAATTTTCCAACTCATTCAGGCAATACTGCATGGTCCTATCTCTTGCAATTTTGAATTACATATTTGATTTCAAGTTACATCTCTCAGTGCAAACAACTTGAAATAATGTAATCCCACCCCCAATTAATCAGAAACTGCATGATTTCAAAGCTTTGGGGCCTATTGAATTATAAGCTGTGTTTATTTTATTGAAACACTTCTATTTTAGTTAGTAAACAGAAATATCCATTATCTCTGTATGGGAATAATCTTAAAATGTTAGTCATATTTTGCAAGGTCTTCAGGGAGTCATCTCATGCATAAAAGGTAATATTTCTGTCCTAGGTAACTCTTTTTTTTTTCTTCACTTCAGCACGCCCCCTCCCACACATATTAGAGAATACTTGGAGACTAAAACCTACCTCCTCGTTTTAAATCAGAAAGTGTAGGTAAACATTGCCTAGTTTAGCTCAGGTATTTAGTAAAGGTTTTTAAATTGGTAGAGTGGATAAGATGCATCCTCTACTAAAATGCTTACAACAGAGTAATAAACTGAACATATATCTCTACCTTTGAAAGATACGACCAACCGAAGGGGAAGGGGAAGTGGGAGGGGTAGGGGAAACGAAAGAAGGGAACAGAATAAATATGAGTAAAGGAAAAAATGGAAATAAAATCTAAATGGGGAGGGGTGGGGGTGAAGGGAGGGCAGGGGGATGGGGAAAAATATAAGAACAATGATACATCAAGTAAAGGTAAAGATTCCCGGTGATGAATGTCATCATATTGTATACCTAAAATGTACCAATAAGTTTAATGAATAACACCAACAAAATATGGCCAGAACAGATCTTTACGGGCATATATGGAATTTGAACAAATGCCTGCCTTTCTTCATGATATGTTTTTATTTGTTGACTAAGATAAAAAGAAGAAACTGCCCTCTAAATTTCCTGTTTATTAAAGGAGCAAAACATTTAAAAATAATAGACATTCTTTAAAAATACTTTCACTGATGTGTATTTGTAAAACATGATTACATTTTTCATGGGGAATTTGTACATATACATATCCCATCTTAATCAAATTTACTGTCCGTTCCTCCTCCCTCTTCCCCACAACCCCTTCCTATCTCCTCCCTGTTCCCTATCGTCTCTTTTATTTTGTTCTTCAAATTATTTACATTTCAGATTTCTCATAGAAGAGAAACCATGAAATATTTAACTTTCTGTGTATGATTTACTTTTGTTAGCATTATGGTCTCAAGATCCATCCATTTTGCTACCGATGATTCAAATTTATCCTCCTTTGTGGCTGAGTAGTACTTCAGTGTCTATATATATCCCATGTTTTCTTTTCTTTCTTTCTTTTTTCTTGGTACCAGGAATCAAACTCAGGACCTTGTGTTCCTGAGGCAGGCGGTGGCAACACTGAGCTAAATCCCCCAGCCCGTCCATTCACTTTTTAATGGCCGTATAGCCTGCTTCCAAAATTTAGCTATTATGAATTGTGCTGTGATAAACATAGGCAAGTGTGTACCGCTGTAAAATGATGTCTTTATCTCTTGTAGGACGCTACTCAGAAGAGGTATAATTGGGTCAACTGGATTTTTTATTATTTAGTGTTTTGAGCAATCTCCATACTGATTTCCATATACTGGTTGTATTAATTTACATTCCCACCAACAATGTAGAAGGGTTCTCTTTTCCTCCAGTCTCTTGAGCATTTGTTATTATTTTATTTCTTGATGGCAGCCATTATTTCTGGAGTAACATGGAAATGCAGTGTTGTTTGCATTTGCATTTCTATAATGGCCAAAGATGAACATTTTTTTAAGTGCTTCTTAGCCATTCATATTTCTTTTGAGAAATGTCTGTTCATTTCAATTGCCTATTTTTAGAAATTGGGAATGGACAAATTTTTTAAAGGAAATTAAATTATCTATTCCAGTGCCACCTTTGCTGCAATTATGACATAAACATAATAATCCAATAGTTTTTTAAATCATTGTATAAAAGTCTTTAAAATTGCCTGATTATCCAAAGGATTATTAGTCATTTTCACAATTGTACGTAGGTTTAAGGGTAAGAATTTTAAAATGATATAGGATAGGGAAGATTTGTAACTTTTTAAGTTTTAATTTGTATTAGAACATGTTTGCAATCCGTAACAGTTTATCTTGTCTGTCCTAAGAGTTGGGTCCATATGCTTTTTCCAAACCATGGTGATATCAACTGTTTTTATCAGGTGGTAACTAGAGCCATAGGGAAGCACATGCTCTCAAAATGCAAGACAGCACTAGTTAGCAGGGAATAATTAGTTTATCAGACCATTTAAAATTTAAGACAACAGTTGAAAATTTATCCAAAATGTATCAATTTTGGAATAGAACGGGCAAAGACAAAAACCCAAGTGTGAGAAGACAAAAAGATGTAATGCTCTATCGGCCACGTCTCAAAAGGAAGATTTAAAAATATTATTGTGCGGCTATCTCATATCTTTTGGATATTGGATTTTTAAGTTTTTTTCGTTATCTTAGAATCTGGTAGCATGTAACCAATGTAAAGAAGCTTTATGAGCTTTGGATCTCCTGAACTGGTTCCGCATTACATTCAGTACAGTGTGTTATGCGTTGCTGCTTCCCTGCTCCCAGCTGCAGATTGCTGTGAAACTGATTGCTGCTGACAGCTCATCTACTTTTGTTGTTTCTTCTTGTAGGAAACAGAGCATGTGGTGCCCAGCCAGTCGGAGTACCTGGGTAGAGCAGGAACACCAGTTTATGAGAGTCCACAAAACAACTCCTTCAGGTGCCAGGAAACCGTGCAACCCCAACCAAGGTGGGCCCTTTGTTGTCAGAATCTATTCTAGGCCTAGGGTTTGTTTTTCAGAAATGCTAACTTAGATGCTTGCCACCCCCGTAGAGGTCAAAGCTATCTGACTTTTGCTGACATTGCTTATGGTCAGCAAAGCTACTTAAAAGGGGTTAGAAGAAGAGTCGCTGAGTTTGAGAGAAGTGTAAATGACCCACTTTCTCTGTTTTTCATTTGAAGATAGTGGCCCTTAAGGCACAGGTGCTTCCTTTAGAAAGAAATGCTATTTCTATTCATTGTGCCCCTTTCCCATGCCCAAGGCAGTTAGGTTTTTGTCTGTGATATGACAAATTAGTGATGCCCGTGTAAGTGTCTTGCCACTTGCTCTTACCTGTGACTTCACTCAGGTTTCTCCTCCTGCTCAGGCAGAACTTTACTCATAGTTCCATTTTATGGAGGACCCTGAATCTGAGCTGTTAAGATACAGTGGACCCTTGACTCCTGAATTTGATTGGTTCCTGAGAACTGGTTGTAATCAAGTTGGTTGTAAGTCAGTAGAACAGATTTGGATGTTTACCTGGGTATATCTTGCTATAGATAACAAGAGGCAGATCAATCTTCCATTAACCGAATGAAACTAAGTTGTTTGTAAAGCAGGCCAGGTGCAACCTGAGCATCCACTGTACTTGCCTGATGTTATCCAAGCAAAACAGGCCGAGCCAAAATCTGATCCTACATATGCTGGAGTATGGTGTAGCAGGTGCAGCTTCTGTGCTGAGTCACACATTGTCCTGTGTCCTCAGCTCTGAAGTGGTCCCAGGGCTGGCCTCTCTAGCCTGCTAGACCTTCTGGGGACAGCTCTGGATCCAGGAAAAGGATGTGGGTGGAAACCTGACTGCAGAAAGGTTGGCAGGACGTTCTGATGGGAGCCTGGCGTTGCAGCTGTCTATGGAAAATCTCTTCTAAAATAAACAGAAGAAAGAATCCAACTACGAGTTGTGTCAGCTGTCTTTGTAGGATCCTACCTACAGTGTAATAATAGCCCTCACCCAGTGGAAAGGGAGTGCTGTGCCTCTGAGAATGACCTTTAAGAATTTTTTCCCTAAGGTAGCACAGTCTAAATGAATCAACAACTTCAGAGAAGACTGACTGTGCTATGTAACTGTGTTTCAGAATATTTAAAGAATTGGAGGGGACTCCAAAAGTAAGGTGATCCACTAGGTGGATTCATGGGTGCCCTTTATAAATCTCCCCACAAGTTGCCATCTTTTATACCTTTATTCTTACCTGACCTCAGGTAATACCTGTTGGAGTTGACTTTATCATTTTCCCACTGATCAAGGCATCTTCCCTCTTATTTGAGGCCTTATTGTAACAGAGCTGTTTGGGACTGGCTGGAATCAATTCAGACAATTACCCTGCCCCCCCACCAGCCTGGTGACTGTCTCTCTCAGCAAGAATAAGGTCAACAAGTTCCCATGCCTATTTCAAAATAGTATAAAAAGCAAAACAAACAAAACCCCAAACTAAGTCATTCATGTTTGTGTTTGGAATGTATGGTAGTCCTTTGGGGGTGAACATTCAGCAGAGGTCAACAGGGAGAAAAATGATATTAGGAATTAACCTTCTGAAGTTCAGCAAACTTAAAACCATTTTCTATCTTATCTATGGTAGGAATGGTAATTGGCAATTTTGCTGTTGTCTGAGGGTAAATTCAGAATTTAATAGGATTCTGTAGTGATCACTCACATATGACTAGTTCAGTGCTAATGGTATTGAATTAGAATAGTTCTATAAGGGAACACACAGAGCAGCAATTCTTGTATTGCTGTGTGGCGTTACACTTTGTTCAGATTCACAGAGATTTATGTTAAGCTGCCTCCAAAAATAAAATGCATGTAACATCTTAGGAATACATTTGCGTAAAACCTTAGTAAGTTCATGGACTTTTTCTGCACGCCAGGAAAAGAAACCAGGTACAGAGTTGGCCATTATCTTTCCTCTTCATGTCAGGGCTGTTTCAGTTGCTAACAGATTGGCAACTTCTTGCACAAGTAGATCTGGTCTGTCTCCCTCTACTCCTTAGCAGTCTTCCATAGGATGCCAAAAACCTTGGCATTCTTTTCCCCTTCTAGCCTCCATTTCCCACTTTTATCATTTCCTAGCTTTCTGAGCTGGCAGCATTCTAGAATGTTCTATGTGCCAGTGTCGGTAATCCCAGGATCTGGTGCTAAACCACAGATAAAAAGTGATTTCGACCATTTATGTCTAATACTGTTAGGTTTAGTATTTAAGTGAGGAGAGTCACCTTTAAACTACAGAGTTATTATAACCATGGATGCATCACCCCAGGGACACTGTAATGGAACTTTCAAAAAATATATTTCAAATTATTACAGGGATTGTGAAATTTGATACACCCGCGAAAGAAGATCTGAGGCTAAAAACAACTTGGAGTCAGGTAGCTCACATTCCTGATAAGATTCCTTTTCTGTTTTAAGTCAGCAAATGCCCAGGTTTGGTTATATCTTGCCGGGTAGAATCTTGAAAGAGACATGATACTGTAACAGGACACACCAGACCTCAGTCTGGCCCAAAGTGAAGGAAGAAGCCAGGATAAATCTCAGCAGATGTAAAATGCCACCTTCTTGGAGGTAGGGCCTAGGGAGAAAGTTATCAATATAATTAGCTCTGCAAAAAAGTGAAGGAACATCTTTTTGTAACAAAGAACTGTAAGGTGTTCACCTATTACTTGGGTAAGACTTGGAGGGAATAGTCCTTATAGAATTAACTCAATCTTGTAAATTGACATTTCAGAGCTGATTGGGGCCAAAGGATGTGTATTGATCTTTCCACACATGCCAAATAATTTTACCTAAAGCTCTCAGAGCTTGTTGTATTTTGGGCTTTTTCTAGAAGGAGGATTTGTCTGAATCTGGAGAGGAGCTCAGGTAGATCTAGGAATATTCTTGCTAAAGTTTAAGTGTATGTAGACTATATCTATTCTCTAATGTTGCTGTAACAAATGTCCACATACGTGTGGGTTAAAACAATTTTATTATGTTGTAGTTTTGTAGGATAGAAGCCCAATATGGTTCTTAGGGGCAAAAGCAAAGGTGACGGAAGGACTGTGCTCCTTTCTAGAGCATATAAATAAAATCAGCTCTTTCCTCGCTTTTTGTTTCCAGAGGCTGCCTGTGCCCCATGGCCTGTGGCCCCTTCCTCTTCAAAGCCAGTAACACTGTATCTCTGACCTTTCTTCTACAGTCACATCTCACTTTGATCATGGCCAGGAAAGATTTTCTTGTTTTAGGCATTCGTATGATCACATTGGCCTCACTAGTATAATCTAGGATGATCTCCTTTTCTCAAGATCCTTAGCTTAATCACATCTACAAAATCTTTTTATATGTAACGTAACATGTAGGGAGATCAAGCCAAGGATGAGAACGTAGGAGTCATGAGTCTGCCTACTGTGTTTCCATTTATTTGTCCAGAACAAATCCATAAGGCATTTATCAAATAGGGCTCAGGACTAAACAACAAAAACAAAAGTTTAAAACTACTCTCCTGACTTTTTCTATCTGTAAATTTGCTTGCTCTTCTGAATTGCCTCATCAGAGACAACCTCAGATTGTTTAAGCCTGATTCATCCTTTTTCATTACGCCCTTATGTCCATTTGTCAAGCCCCGACTGCTGCATTTTATTCCTTAGTATTACAGTGTAGTGCATCAGAGGTCTCTTTTTTGGTGTCCTATTCTTGTCTCTGATGGAGGCGTATTTGGCTTGTATACCGTTTTAAAATACTTGAATCAATATTTATTTGGAAAAATCTGAAGACAGGATAATCTAGAGTGTGTATTCCTGCAAGGCAACAATAAACTGGAGCTGAGGAGAAGTTTTCCGTTTTTCACAGTTCTCTTTAGCTCTCTCCATTTATTTACACTTTTCGGTTGGTTTCTGTAGATATTTGATTTATAATGCCTGCTTCAATCCTTTTCTTCCTAGCAACTGTTCATCCTGGGAAGTCTGGGGCTGCCTGAGTTTAACTCCCAATATGGTGCTGGCTGATGTTGTCTTACTGCTAGTTTTTCACAGATGACATGTTTATATTTTAACAGGGACTGTCTTTGCATATAGTGAAGGATATTATACTACTGTGGCATGCTCCTCAATGCCTCATGCTTTTCAAGAGTGTAGAATCACATTTAGTTAGAACTAGAGCAAGCCTCAGCAGTGGCTTAGTACAATTGTCTATTTTGTAGCTGGATATCCAGTGAGACTGCAATTTGCTTAAGTTCTCACACCCCTGGTAACCCAAGCAAGCTGGCAGTCTGTTTAGAACAGCTACTTGATTAATATGCAGAAATGTGACTGATTTCTATAGCACAAGCCAGAGCCCATCCTGTAACCTTCAAATAGGACAAAGGGGAACTGAGGAATGTCAAAGAATGCTAATGAAGTTGGGGATTTCTTGCCCAGCTAAGTAAATTTACTTTGGGGAGAGATTAACTCACTTGTATTTAAAATACTCTATTAAAATTTATGACAATTAAACCTTTAATGTCATTAAAAACTTTATATACATTGAGCTATTTCATGGCATTGTCTTACTATTAATTAGATCGATAGTTGCTTTTGCTAGTTTTAGTTCATTAGCTTTATCTGGAAATCTCTGATAGAGGTGATTGAAAATTCTTACAGAGAAATAGACTTTGATGGCTGCCAATAGTTTTTGTAGTATTTTAGACGAAAGAAAAAGTTGGGAGCTTTGTTGCTTTATAGAAAGAGGAAGTTTTCTTGGCAGTAACTTTTCCATGGGGGATAAATCTTTTCATCTGTTGTTCTTAAGATGGACAACTTGTGTGTTTTAATAGCCAATTGTGTCTTAAATGGTTTTTCATAGAAGTAAGTAGTCTTAAAGAGTCCTGCTAAGAAGAAAGAATGAAGAAAAGAATGAACACCCAGAGATGTTTTAATAATGCAGAGGATGTGATCCCCCTTCTTGGACAGTACTAGATCAGGA